CAATTACAAGATGACGTACAATGTCTACATTTCTAGATTCATAATATGCTTTGTGTAGTGGTCTGTCATTAAAACTGTTCTCAGCTTCAAGATTACATTGTGAATGATTAGTCAGAATTTTAACAATTTCAAAGTGGCCCTTTTGACATGCATAGTGTAATGGTGTATGGTCAAACCTCCCTTTAGCATTAACATCACAGTGTTTGTCAATCACAAGATGACGTACAATGTCTACATTTCCAGATTCATAATATGCTTTGTGTAGTGGTCTGTCATTAAAACTGTTTTCAGCTTCAGTATTACATTGTGGATGATTAGTCAGAATTTTAACAATTTCAAAGTGGCCCATTTCACATGCAAAATGTAATGGTGTATGGTCAAACCTCCCTTTAGCATTAACATCACAGTGTTTATCAATCACAAGATGATGTACAATGTCTACATTTCCTGATTGACATGCCAAATGAAGTGGTCTAATTTGATCAAAACCTTCAGCTTCTATATTGCATTCAGTAGAACTGGTAAGAACTTCAACTGTTTCAAAATTACGAATTAAACATGCCACGTGTAATGGAGTTGAGCCATTCCTCCCTTTAGCATTAACATCACAGTGTTTATCAATCACAAGATGACGTACAATGTCTACATTTCCAGATTCACATGCTTTGTGTAGTGGTCTGTCATTTAAACTGTTCTCAGCTTCAGTATTACATTGTGGATGATTAGTCAGAATTTTAACAATTTCAAAGTGGCCCTTTTCACATGCATAATGTAATGGTGTATGGTCAAACCTCCCTTTAGCATTGACATCACAGTGTTTATCAATCACAAGATGACGTACAATGTCTACATGTCCTGATTGACATGCCAAATGAAGTGGTCTAATTTGACCAATATCTTCAGCTTCTATATTGCATTCAGTAGAACTGGTAAGAAGCTGAACTGTTTCAAAATTACCATTCAAACATGCTACGTGTAATGGAGTCAAGCCATCCCTCCCTTTAGCATTAATATCACAGTGTTTATCAATCACAAGATGACGTACAATGTCTATAATTTGTAATTTACATGCCAAATGAAGTGGTCTAATTTGATCAAAACGTTCAGCTTCTATATTGCATTCAGTAGAACTGGTAAGAACTTCAACTGTTTCAAAATTACGAATTAAACATGCCACGTGTAATGGAGTTGAGCCATTCCTCCCTTTAGCATTAACATCACAGTGTTTATCAATCACAAGATGACGTACAATGTCTACATTTCCAGATTCACATGCTTTGTGTAGTGGTCTGTCATTTAAACTGTTCTCAGCTTCAGTATTACATTGTGGATAATTAGTCAGAATTTTAACAATTTCAAAGTGGCCCTTTTCACATGCATAATGTAATGGTGTATGGTCAAACCTCCTTTTAGCATTGACATCACAGTGTTTATCAATCACAAGATGACGTACAATGTCTACATGTCCTGATTGACATGCCAAATGAAGTGGTCTAATTTGACCAATATCTTCAGCTTCTATATTGCATTCAGTAGAACTGGTAAGAAGCTGAACTGTTTCAAAATTACCATTCAAACATGCTACGTGTAATGGAGTCAAGCCATCCCTCCCTTTAGCATCAATATCACAGTGTTTATTAATCACAAGATGACGTACAATGTCTACACTTCCTGATTGACATGCTGAATGGAGTGGTCTACGTTTAAGATCACATTCAGCTTCCATATTGCATTCAATAGAACTGGTAAGAAATTGAACAGTTTCAAAATTATGATTTAAACATGCCACGTGTAATGGAATTAAGCCATTCATCCCTTTAGCATTAACATCACAGTGTTTATCAATCACAAGATGACGTACAATGTCTACATTTCCTGATTGACATGCCAAATGAAGTGGTCTAATATGATTAATACCTTTAGCTTCTATATTGCATTCAGTAGAACTGGTAAGAAACTGAACAGTTTCAAAATTACCATTCAAACATGCTACGTGTAATGGAGTCAAGCCATCCCTCCCTTTAGCATCAATATCACAGTGTTTATCAATCACAAGATGACGTACAATGTCTACACTTCCTGATTGACATGCTGAATGGAGTGGTCTACGTTTAAGATCACATTCAGCTTCTATATTGCATTCAGTAGAACTGGTAAGAAATTGAACAGTTTCAAAATTATGATTTAAACATGCCACGTGTAATGGAATTAAGCCATTCATCCCTTTAGCATTAACATCACAGTGTTTATCAATCACAAGATGACGTACAATGTCTACATTTCCTGATTGACATGCCAAATGAAGTGGTCTAATTTGATCAATACCTTCAGCTTCTATATTGCATTCAGTAGAACTGGTAAGAAACTGAACAGTTTCAAAATTACCATTCAAACATGCTACGTGTAATGGAGTTAAGCTATCCCTCTCTTTAGCATTAATATCACAATGTTTATCAATCACAAGATGACGTACAATGTCTACATTTCCTGATTGACATGCCAAATGAAGTGGTCTAATTTGATCAATACCTTCAGCTTCTATATTGCATTCAGTAGAACTGGTAAGAAATTGAACAGTTTCAAAATTATGATTTAAACATGCCACATGTAATGGTGTATAGCCATTACTTCCTTTACTATTAACATCACAGTGTTTATCAATCACAAGATGACGTACAATGTCTACATTTCCGGATTTGCATGCACTATTTAATGATCTCCTATCTTCATAATGATCATTTAATAAATTCATTATATCTGGTTCTGCTAGTTGCTTTGCTGATGTCATACATTTAGACAAACCATCCTCACTCACTTTCTTTCCTAATATTGAAACTATTTCTTTGTGTCCTTGACATGCTCCATAATGAAGTGGTTGGTTTCCTTTATTGTCTTTAGCTTCAATGTTACACTGTGGTTTAGATATCAAATATTCTACTATTGACAGTGATCCATTATAACATGCTTTATGTAATGGAGTGGACCCAGTTCCCTCTTCTCTAACATTAATATCACAGCCAGTAGATTCAATGAAATGCTCTACTATTTCTAAATGTTCTTTATCTGTTGCTGCTAGTAGAGGGTGTCTCTCATTATTATTATTAATGTTACAGTTTGGTTGTCCTGTTAAATACTCTACTACTGGTAAGTGATTATAAATACATGCCATATACAGTGGAGTATTGCCATACTTATCCTCTACATTAATATCATGATTGCATGACT